GTGGTATGACGAATTACCGACATCCCCGCTTTGGGCCAGTTATATGAGGAGAGCGAACGAGGTGGCTCGAGAAATGTGGACGCCGTCAACGTGGGAGCAGAGAGTGTCCCTAGCTGGGCAATTTACGACATTTTTGCCGCACGCACGAACAGCCGATGAACGAGGAGAGCTGTGCGGCCCTTTTGATGGCAATCGATGTGGCGCCATCGACCCGACCGCAGTACGCCAGGATGCTGCGGTCCATGTTGGAAATGAATCGAACCCCGCTGGACATGGTGATTCTGTGGCTAAAAAAAGTTGCGGCGCGATCGGAGACGAAGCAAGCGTGCCCCTTGACAAAGGATGGACCAATATATCCGCAGCCGGACCGATTGGAAGTAACGTGTTGTCTTACGACTCGCGTGGATAACGGCGAGGCTTTGGTCCGAGATTGCGGCCTTAACTCCCAACAATTTCACAATGGAGCCGGACGGGACCGTAATTTTGGATTGGTTCGTGGCGCCGAAGACGGCGAAAGCGGATCCCCACCGCGCCTTTAATTTCGTGAGGATACGAGGACAGGACGTGTTCGACACCATAAAGCTATGCAGGACACTTCAAGAGAACGAAGAGCTCACGAATATTACTAATGCCAAAGTCTAACGAGCTCTGGCTCCTTGGGATGCCACGACGCATTCCATAAAACACGGTGCGCTGCGGCACGCTGCTCAAATCGTGGAGACGTACAATTTGGACCCACACGTGATCTCGCAGTTGGCGAAGCACGTCGACCCGTTCGACCTTCCCCAGAATACTGTTCGATATTTGGGGAGGTACACCACAATGCTGACCCAGGTGTCGTCACTGGTCAAATTGGTGTGAAGGGAAAACTGCGAGGGGCAAGAACCCTGGCTGAGAACGGAGGAGCGTTTTTTCCATGATTTTAATCACAATCATGCTGCTACGATAACGAGACGCGCGACGAGGACGCGTCTGGCCACTCCACAAGATGAACACGCTATCCCGCTACAGCAAGTCAACGTGCCCGTATTGAACCTAGAGTGGATCAAGAGCCAGTTGAACCCGGCCACCTTGGAGAGGCTCATGCAAGTGTGGGGACTCGTCGGGCGGTCCCCTTTCCCTCCGTCTTCCTCCGGTAAAGCGCGCGAAGGCTCACGGAGGATTCCAACCGCTGACGCGAGATTGTTACGCAAAGCAGGAATTATCGAGGACGCTTCGTCCACAACAGGCGGATGGATAATACCCTTCTTAGTTGTGGAGGAGGAAACCACCGGTTCACGACGACGATGGATCGCGTGGCCACGCGACAAGAACAGAGACGACCCTTACGAGGCCAATGCGCCTCTTTTACACATTTCCCATTATTTGCCACCTGTGATGGCTGATGCCGTTTCCTGCCTGGATTTAAAGGCATCCTTTTTCAAGTCTCTTTACCGCGGGGGCTCGGCATCTTTTTGATGCCACGTGGAGGACGGCACGCTGGTGGAGCTGACACGGCTCCCAGTGGGATACAAGGCCGGCCCAGAAATTCTCCAGATTATTATTACCTTGGCAATTGCGGGGCGAAGACGGTGGTTCACTGCCTCTGGGCTGCACCTCCATTGGTCCGTATCGACGTATGGATCGGTAATATGCGCATTGCAGGGTCGATAGGCGATGTGACACGGTGGGAAGCCCAAGTACTTCGGAATGCGGACAGCCGTTGCACCACGATGGGGGAGGATCGCGAATCGGGCGCCACGCATTACATCTTTCTGGGGGTGCAGTTTGATCACACTCACCGGGCGGTATCCCTGAGTGACAAGCTTGTCCGGTCTGTGCGCGCCATGCCGGCGGTCAATTCTTCAACCATCGCGGAAATGGAGGTTGTGGCGTCACGCTTTTTGTACGCGGCTGCCATTTTGTGCACGCGTTTATGTGAATACTACTTTTTCATCAAGGCAGTGCGACGACGATTATCGGCACTTAACCGGGGAATTGTGCCGGAGACATCCCCGGCGAACCTTCCGCCGGCAGCGGTTGGTTTGGGCGAGAGTTTACGACAAATGATCGAGAATAACCGTAAGAGAAATAACAAGCCCACGGAAACGGCATCGGCCGTCATCATCACGGATGCATCGCTCCATGGGTGGGAGCCGTTTTTATTCCAGACTTCGGCGACGTTAAAACTGCCGGAGGAAAGTGGGAGAGGAAGCCTTTTCTTATCATGCAGGCCGAGGCATGCGCGGTACGCTTAGCCTTATCGGCCTTTTCCGCCATCCTGCCATCCACCATGGACGTTTGGGTGGACAACACTTTGCTGCAAGGAGCGGCGAATAAAGGCAGCTCAAAATCACACGCCATGACGTGGGATCTGCAACGAATATATGAGTTTTTGGACTCTCGCGGAGTGCAGGCATCCTTTGCTTACGTGCGGTATCCAGAAAACCCCACAGACGGCATATCACGCGGTCGTGTTTTTACACTTCAGGAATTGGCGAAGGGGAGTGGCGGGGTCTTGTGGTTGGAGGACCCCAAAGTCTGCCACTTCGTAAGTAATAATATTTCAAATCCTAACTGAGGTCAAAGGACCGTGCTAATGGTCCACAGAATTCTATATATTGAATGAGAATAAAACATTGAAGCAATTAACTAACGAACCTTTTCTCCTAACTTGTTTGGTTTCCATAGATAATTTCAGGATCCGGCCAGCTGCCCGGAAGATTATTCTTTTTTCTTTTGTGTTTTTACTGTTTTACGTTGTTGCCTTTTTTTAGTTTTTGTTTTTTTCTTTTGTGCGTCTTTTTTTTTAATTTTTGCATGTTATTGTGCTTTTTTAAACTTTAATTGGCTTGATGTTTTTCATGAAGTGCGTGTTGCTTCTGCTGGCAGCTGTGAGTGTGACGTGTCTCTCCCCTTTTGCTTTCACTCTCTTTTGACGTGTTGTTAGTTTGTGCTGAAGGCTACACGCAACTGACAGGAGTGATGGCGATGATGATGACCGGCCGTGTGCTGCTGGTGTGTGCCCTCTGCGTGCTGTGGTGCGGTGGCGGCGGTAGCTGTGACGTGGAGGTGCTACCTGCTGTCGAGCCACTTGTTAATCCTGCTAGTGGTTCTGGAGTTACCGGCAATGCCAGCGGTCATACGGTGACCGGTGAGGCGGAAGTGGTTTCCTTACAGCAATCACGGCTGGACAACGCTGGGAATTCCGCAGCCGGGTCCCCGCAATTGCAAGCTGCTTTAGAGCCTGAATCACCAACGGAGCAGCCACAATCCGACCCCGAACATACGGTTCCATCAACACATTCACAATCATCGGGCGAAGGACGGCAAGATGGAGCACCCGACGGTCAACCAGGGAAACCTGGGATTTCACCCAGTCAAGAGGACAATAAGGATGTATCAATTGAAAATCAACAGAGTAATGATCCACCATCTCATTCGGGTAACGACGATGTCGTCAGCCGTAATAGTGGGGAGCGCACAGAAGATGATTCGAGGCGTACTGAAACTCTTGTTGCCGCACCGTCAGAAGAGGGGCAGGAGCCTGAAAATGTCACTCCTTCCTTGGAACAACCTCGGGAAACTTCCACAGCCGCACCGGCCGTTACCACTCAAACAACTTCCATTACGCTGCCCGAAGAAAATGCGAGCAACACCGTCAAAATGAATGATGCATCACCACATTCAACAGTCACCGCCAACACAAATCATACGGTGACACCTGCCGAAAATGACGGCAGCACCGCGGTCGCCCACACCACCTCCCCTCTTCTTATTGTTGCGTGTGCGGCTGCTGCTGCGGTGGTGGCCGCGTGAGAGTGAGGGGGAGAGAGCCGTGCACCGCCCGCACACACACTCTTCCTTCTCTCTCTGTGTGTGTGTGTCCCCTTGCATGGACTCTCGCCCTCACCTCACCCCACGAGGCACACACAATAATGTGCCCATTGTATATATGCATGCACACCCATGCAGGCCCGTTGGTGCTCTCTTTTGCACGACACGCACCGCTGCCGTCCTGCCTGGCTGCATGGGCGGAGCACCGTAACTGTTTCTGTTTTGTTTTTATTGCATTGAGTGGGCGACCTCTCTCTCTCTCCCTCTGTGTGTGTGTTTTGCTTTACGGGAGTAATGAGAGTGTGTGTGCGCTGGTCGTCCCGCGCTTCGGCTTTTTGTTGTTTTATTGTTTTACTTGTGTTGTGGTTGTGTGCACCCATTCCGCGGCTGCGTGTGTGTGCGATGATATGAGTAATTTGCGTGTGTGCTATCTGCCTCTCTCTGCCGTTGCCTTCTTCTGACTCTCTTGTGGCGCACAGCTGCTCTGCATGTATAGGCGCTGCCAAACACACAAGCACATGCACACACATTCACACGTTAAGGAGCGGCGTGAACGTTGAGGACGCACACACACGATTTTTCTGTGGCTTGTGAGAGGAGGGATGACGGAGACCGCGATTTGTTTTGTTTCTGTGCTAAGGGCGTGATTATCTTGGCGTGCAGCAGTTGACTGATTTGGTGTGACATTAAGGGTGTCTGGGAGGAGTGCCGATTCTTGCCCAGTATCTGCACGTGCCGACGTGTTTCTCTCGCTGTTCATACAGCGAGGGAGGATTCTCCGGCTGTGCGGGCGATGTGCGGTGGATGGTGCGAGGAGAGACAACAGTAAAACGACTGGCGGCAGTGCATGTGGGCGTTGCTCGGTGTGCGCTGACGCGTGACGGAAGCACAAGGTACCCGCTGTGGCTTTTACTGCTAGTGGTGGTGGCAGTCGCTGTGTGTTCTCGGTGCGCTGTTCTTCCTTCTCGTTCCGTGTGTCTGTGCGCGTGAGTTGTTGTTGTTGGGAGTGACTGCGGCGGGGATGATGATGCTCACTGTTTAACCTCTTTTTTGTTGCCTGTTTTCTCTCTATTTCTTTTCTCACTCTCTTAGGAAGGAAGCAAAGAAGCAATAATCGCTACTGTGAAATTCGAAGGCTCTGAAAGGACCAACAGCACACACACCGCCCACACACACATATTTATATGCTCTCACGTGTTGCTGCAGTCATGGCGCCCCGCACACACAACCGTCGCCGCGTGACCGGATCCAGCGGGAGGAGGAGGGAAGGAAGAGAGAGTGAGCCGCAGAGGCCCAACATGTTGCGGCGTTTGTTTACTTCCGCGCTGCTGCTTCTCCTTTTTGTGATGATGTGCTGCGGCAATGGTGTTGAAGCTGATGTACGGGCGTCAGGCCCAGGATCTTTACCGAAGACATATTTTGTTTGGAGAGACAAGAAAGGTGAAGAAACGGTGATTTCTCTCCGTGTTCCCAGTCTTGTTGAGGTGAAAGGTGATGTCTTTGCCGTTGCCGAGGCGCCGTGCAAGAATGGCGGTGAAAAAGTATTTACTGGAATTGCCTCGGAGCTCCTGACATTGAGTGATGAAGAATCAAAAGAATTGGGTACAAATGCAGTAAAGACACAAGTGCTGGAGGAATGTCCATTTGATGAGAAAAGCGCCTGCCATATAGCGGGTCAGGATGATTCCAAAACCCATACGAGAGTACTTTTGAGCCGACCAACAACAGTTGTGAAGGGAAGTGATATTTACATGCTTGCTGGGAATTACAGTTGGAAACTTGCCGCTGGTGTTCAGGGAGCTGACGCAGGCGACTGGGGACTCGTGCTGGTGAAAGGGAACGTCAGTAAAGAAGAAAGTCAAAAAAGAATCTTTTGGAATGATACTTACGCTATCCCGTGGAATTATAACAAACAAAATGAATCCTTGACGCGTCTAATTGGCGGCGGTGGAACGGGTGTTAAGATGAAGGACGGTACGCTTGTGTTCCCAGTGGAAGGCACGAGGAAAAAGACGACGAACAAGGTTGGCACTGAAGAGGATGAAAAGACCGTATCGCTGATCATCCACTCCTTGAAGGATACTAATAGTTGGACGCTGTCGAAGGGGATGTCTGACGGTGGCTGCAGTGATCCCTCCGTCGTGGAGTGGGGGGAGAAGGACAAAAAACTCATCATGATGACTGCGTGTGATGATGGCCGCCGCAGGGTGTACGAGTCCGGTGACAAGGGGGAGTCGTGGACGGAGGCGCTCGGGACACTCTCGCGCGTGTGGGGCAACAAAAAGAGTGAAGGTGGCGTTAGAAGCGGGTTCATCACAGCGACGATTGACGGTGTTGAAGATAATAACAGGAATGTGATGCTCGTTACTCTGCCGGTGTATCCCAGGGAGGACAGCAAAAAAGTAACGGACAATAGAAAGGGAAAACTCCATCTTTGGCTGACGGACAATACGCACATTGTTGATATTGGGCCGGTATCTAATGATGATGATGACGCTGCTGCCAGCTCCCTGTTGTACAAAAGTGGGAAAAGTGAAGATAAGAAGGAGGAGTTGATCGCACTGTACGAGAAGAAGAAGGGCGATGGAAAAAAACCATCACCCGGTATGGTCTCTGTGCTTCTGACTGAGCAGCTGCAGCGTGTGAAGGATGTGCTGGCGACGTGGAAGGAAGTGGACGGACGTGTCTCCAAGCTTTGCTCCTCAAGTGCTGAGGAGAGTGCCCCACCTAACACTGCCTGCAGCGCTGCCATGCCGACGGATGGGCTGGTTGGCTTTTTGTCGGACAACATCTTTGGAAATACATGGAAGGACGAGTACCTCGGGGTGAACGCCACAGTAAATAAGAAAGATGGGGAAACAGGGGAGACAGGGGCAAAAAAGACTTCCGATGGTGTGAAGTTCCATGGTGCGTGGGCGGAGTGGCCCGTTGGCGAGCAGGGGGAGAATCAGCCGTACCACTTTGCGAACTACAACTTCACTCTTGTGGCGACGGTGTCCATCGACGGCGTGCCGAAGGAGGGTTCTCCCATTTCTTTGTTGGGTGCGAAGTGGATTGACGATAATAATCCAGTACTTCTGGGACTGTTGTACAACAAAGAAAAGAAGTGGCAGGTGCTGTGCGGTGGCGGAACTCCTAAGGAGCCCAGCAGCACATCGGAGGCAACAACACACCACGTGGTAATTTTGTTACGGAACGGCACCCAAGGCTCCGCGTACGTCGATGGTCGGCGTGTATTGGGAGATGCAGAATGTGATTTGAAAAATACGAAAGATAAAAAGATCTCCCACTTCTACATTGGAGGGGATGGAAACAGTGCGGGCGGCGTCTCAGATGTCCAAGACGTCTCTGTGACGGTGACGAACGTGTTGCTGTACAACCGCCCGTTGGATGACAGTGAGATTAATGCGCTTAACACAAAACTTTCTATTCCAAAAGCAAAAGATGCAAAAACAGTGAAGGTTACTCCACCAGAGGCAAGTAAACAAGCTACGCCGGAAGCCGGAACTCCGTCTGGTCTTGGCGGGCAACAGCGGACTGAACAGGATTCGTTGAAGAAAAGTGACGATGCGGGGAGTGGCGGTTTATCCACGTCAGCGGTGTCCAGTGTCACGAATTCCCCAGCAGCCAAAGAGTCCGAAGACCAGTCAGCGTCGGGAACATCTCCCGAAGGACATTCGAATGTGGATGTTGATTCTTCGTCCGAGGGAGTTCAAACGGTGGATGCCGAAACTGGAGACACGGTGCAGGGAGATGGAACACAACAACCGTCAGTGGGCACTCCCGCCACAGCAGATACAAATGCCCCTACCGCTGAAACCATGGCGCACGATGGAACCGCCGTGACACCTGAGGTGGGAGGGCACTCTGCTGCGAGTGGGGAAAAGGTGGGAGGGACGGATGGTCAGAAAGGGGAAGATCTCCATGCACGGGACGGTGAAGTAAAGGCTGCGGCACTCAACAGCAGTCTCGGAAATGTGTCGCAGGGGAATAACAGCGATGCCGGCACTGTGCGTGGGAGCGGACTGCTGCCGCTGCTCCTTCTGTTGGGACTGTGGGGTTTAGCGGCTCTGTGAGGAGTGACTGGCTGCCGCGTGGGTCACTTGCGACCTCCCCAGCACCGATACACACGGTAATTAATTTATCTTCTTTAATAAATTTTATCTACCTTTATTGCTTTATGTGTGTTATTTTTACTGTTTTTAATTTTTATTGTTTTAATCTCTCACTCCCCCATCCCTCTTTTTGCTTTTCTACTCTTCCCTCTTTAATTGTTTGTTGCTGCACTCTTCCTGCGAGGGGTGCCGTGTGTTTCCCGCCCAACTGCTCCACTCGCACACCACCGACACGCTCATGACGACGGCCCTGTGCGCCTCGCCTGCTGCACGCATGAGGAGGGGCCGCGACGAACGGCGCGCTGAGGGAGCCGTGACGTGTGGGCGTGCGACGAGGGCCTGTGGGGCGGAGCACACATTTCTTCCCTCTTGTTGTGTTTTCTTGCGGCCAGGGCTGGCAGACACCCGCAGCGCCACACACACAGCCACACCCTGCCGCCGTGTTTTTCTTTAAGGATTTGTTTTGCTTTGCGTGTTTATTTCATGCGGTGGCGCACCCTTCGGTGTCGGCCTCGTGAGCATTTCTCTCCCCTCCGATGATTTCTTTTTCTTTTGCTGCGCTCACTCTCCCGATGGAGTGACGCGACTGCCGTCATGTCTGCGTGCTTCTCTCAGTCCCCACACACGAGTGACTGTGCTCTGCGGGCCGCACTCACGCGCCGATGGGAGGGCTGAGGGGAGCAGCAACGCGCAGATGACCCCATGAAATATAAACGATGTGCGGACACGTGGAGGGTCGGACGGTTGAAGCACACGCAACCATCTTTTTAATTTTCTTTTGCGGGCAAAATACATACAGACAGTTTGGTGTGGCCACGCGGCAGCCAGGCGATTTTTTTCGTATTTTAAAATTTGTGTGGAGCAGTAATGGACGATTTCTTTTCATTTATAACTATTTTGTGTGGTGAGGTTTACATAAGACGAAGGGGGACGTTTTTGTTTTCAATAAATATTGTGTGAATTGCCGCTGCTTGGGCTGCAGTGCAGTCATGAGTTTGAGCGGTCTTCTTCTTGTTGTTGTTTCCGTTATGCGTCTCCGCTGTACATTTTTGTGCGTCCCTCCACATACTCTGCTCCCTCTTTTCCACGTCTTTGCTTTGTGTTTCTGCAGGCACACACAACCACACACACAAGATGCACATTGCAGTGGATATGAATGCACCTTTTGTAGTGCATGCTGGCAGTTGCGTGTGGCGGCTGTTGTCTTCTTCCGTGGCCATGAGGAGGGAGAGAGGGAGCGCACCCCGAGTCTATTTTCCTGTGGGTGTGATGCACCGCGTGTGACTGCGCTGAGTTGGGCTCCGTGTCCCATTGATGGCGGGATGGCAGGAAATTTTGTGCCGCGTGATGGATGGATGAGGGTTCGCTTGCTCCGTGTGCGCTGTGTGGTGGCCGCGGGGTTTTGCCATTTCTCTGGGGCTGCGGGAATGAGCTGGGGAAGATGGTGGTGGATGTCTTCTCCTCCTGCATGGTGGCTGCTGGCGTTGTGTGCCTTCCTTGCGTGGATGCCGTCTCGTGGTGTGTGGACTGTGCGGCTGGGCCTGCTGCCCTCTCCTCATGTTGTCTGCGCTCTCTCGCTGTATCCGCTGTGCTCCGTCCCTCTCCCTCTCGTTCCATTCTTTTCCTTCCTTTCCGTCTCACCGATCAGCTGACTGACACCAGCGACTCCACTACGGGCGATGATGACTGCGATGGTGACGGTGCGGCGCCGTGTTGGTCCCTGCGCTCTTGTGCTGCTGCTGCTCGTCCGTGTGCGTGATGGCGACAGGAGACGATAATAGTGATGACAGCCGTCCTCCCAGCCCTGAGCTAGGGAATCCGGATCCTACAAAAATATGCCTGGTGCATTACAGCCATATGGTGGGGAGACCGGTGTGCCACAGACAGAGAGTGGGAGAGACAGCGAGGAGGGTTTGCGAATTCAAGCACCTTCGTTGCCAAAGGAAGCAGGCACAGCCATCACTGGACAGACACGAGTTCCGCCAGAGTCACTGAGTTCGGCTAGCGATAATCCAGAGCCACCAGGTTTGGCAACTCAGTCTCCACACACACACACACACACACAAGGTGCGACCGGTATGTCAGATGCACAAAATAAAGGAGCAGTAAAATACACGAGACGATGAGAATCACAAGGCACAGATATTAAATCAGAAGATCAAAATGCCAAATATTACCACCAATAAGACTACAACAACGCTATGGCTCAGCCGGCCACCTCAACGTGATGCCAGGGTGCAGTACTCTTTGCTAGAGAGGAAGCCAAGTGCCTACTGCCCATCCGCTGCGCGCGGAGAGGTGGCAGACGCCGAACAAACGGGTCGGAAGGGCACCAGATGGAGCCATTTGTAATGGTTGTCCGCTGAGCGGTATTTCATCCGCTGCTGAATTCCATCGGCGCTTATCAGCGCTATAAATACCGTTTGCGTGCCGTATGTGACGCGCAACTACAAATGTTACTGCTAGGCGAGGCAACTGAGCAGCACCCAGGCCCCATAGAAGTACTCCAGATGAACGTTTCTTGCCTCACGGCGTCAAAACTCGCAACATTAATGGCGCAAAGAGCAGACATAATAGCCATCCAGGAGACGTGGAAGTCGTCAGAGCAGATCGCCAGCATGCACACTGGAGATTATGTGCTCCATGCACAGTCGCGCATCGGCAAGGGAGGCGGTGTGGCGGTGCTGGTGCGGAAAACTCTCCGCTCCAAGCGTATATCTCTCACCATACCCCAGCATGACACCAGCCATGAATTGGTGGTGTTCCAGGTTGCTCTGGACCAGAACCGTGATCTTATTGTAGCGAGTGCCTATATGAGACCACCACCGCAAGTAACGCAATCCTTCAGGCGGTTAGTAAACTGCCTTCCAGCCTCGTCGCCGCTCCTGCTGTGCGAGGATTTCAACATGCATCACCCACAGTGGGAGCCATTCTTGGAGACTTCTCCAAGCGAGGTTGCTGCAGAATTTCTAGAACTGTGCACGTATGCGGGACTCACCTTGGTTAACACCCCTGGTGAGATCACGTATGCCCGTGGCGCAAGAGAACGATCCTGTATCGATCTGGCATGGTCAAAGCATTTGACTGTGTCGGATTGGTCACCTTCCGTGTCGCCGCTTAGTGATCATTATATGCTGACATTGACGCTGCATCAGGCATTTAAGGATACCATACCTTCGGCTCCTAAGATATTCCACAGTTGGGGAAGTGCAAGTGGGATTTATTCGTCAAGGACTTCGACGCACAACTTCCGGCATATGACTATAAAAAGCAGTCCACCGGCATTAAGGCTTTCACGAGAGCGCTTATAACTTCGTATCGACGACATTGCCCCCGCGGCATGCACAAGGACGGTCCCAGGCTTTGGGACGACACTCTCATGGAGGCAGAGCGGATTGCTACGGACAGCAAAGCCCGCTATCTACAGTTACCGACGCCCGACCGTGAGGCCGAAATGCAACAGACAAGGAGTCAATTCTTCCTCCTACTCCGAGAGCGTTTGCGCAACACGTATCCACGTCGCATCAGCAAGTTAAATCCAGGCGAGCCACTCGCATGGAAATACATTTCCGGACGAAAAAAGGCACCACTTCCATCTCCCACATCAATTTTGTTAGGAGATGCTCAACACACTTATGAAACAGCAAGGAGAGCAGCGAATGCTCTCAATCGCATCTTTCTTCCATTTCACCCCTCTCAAAGAGCAGTCAGGTTTTCCAAAGGCATCAACAGACGGAACACATCCTTCAACATTAATGCTTCTTTTATTTTTGGACCACAGAACAGCAACGGGTTGATCTCTACATTTACATCAGGGGTTTTTCTTACTCCCCCATTGATGCACCTTTTAATCGTACGGAACTGCTTGCCGCGCTACGTAATGCGCCGTATGGCAAGGCCCCGGACCGGATGAAGTCTACAGTGAGGCACTGCGACATATTTCGTCAAAGGACCTCCGATTCCTTCTTCGTTGCATTAACCACAGCTGGACGACCGGTACGATTCCGGCTGAGTGGAGACGCGCCACCATCGTTCCACTCTTAAAACCCGGCAAGTCGCCGGAACTGCTTGAGTCATATCGACCCATCAGCCTTACCTCCATTGTGAGTAAGGTTGCTGAGAAAATGGTACTGAAGAGATTGCTTTGGGTGTGGACGCCACACCCCCACCAGTATGCATATCGTAGTATGCGTACCACGACGATGCAGCTGGCACACCTGATACACGAAGTGGAGCATAATAGAAATCACTATTTCCAAGTGAGCCTTCCCAAGAAGAGCGGTATTGGCAATCAACTCCACTACAGACCCCATCGGACCCTGCTGGTGTTGGTTGATTTCAGCAAGGCCTTTGACTCCATAGATCATCGAGTCCTCAGTCGCTTGCTGGCTAATATTCCGGGGGTGAATTGTAGAGGGTGGCTTAGAAACCTTCTATGTGGTCGCTACGCGAAGACACGAGTTGGCCACAGACACAGCGATCGGCGTCCCATGCTGCGAGGAGTTCCTCAGGGGTCCGTGCTGGGACCGTATTTGTTCTCCCTTTACGTACACCCACTTCTCAATTTGCTGAACAGCTTTGCGGGTGTCACAGCAGACATGTATGCGGACGACCTCTCTATTATCGTTAAGGGGTAGTCCCGCGAAGACGCCATTCCCACTGCCAACATGGTTCTTCAAAAGCTGCATGCGTGGAGTCAGGAAAATGGCCTGGCCATTAACCCGTCAAAGCGTGAAGCCGCTTGGTTCACACTATCCACGCACACGGAGTCAGATTATGATCGTGAAGGAAGGTGGCCCCTGGTAGTGGCTGGATGTCAAATCCCAGTCATGACCATGGGGGCATCGCGAACTACGAAGCTTCTCGGCATGGATCTCGATCCGTGGCTGACGCTAAATGTGGCGGCCACCAAGCAATGCGCTGCCACTTCGCAACGGATATCGCAGCTACGCTGCATAGCGCACAAAGAGGCGGGAACATCTCCACATGACCTACGCACGTTCGTCATCGGATACGGTGCTTCCAAATTACGCTATGGCAGCGAGCTCATATGGGCAATAGCGACGGATTCAGCGAAGAATGAGATGCAGAAGACGTACGCAACCCTAGCACGCATTGTCAGCGGAGTTCCGAGCACTGTCGACCCGGAATCCGCACTGCTGGTGGCTAACATGCCCCGCTCCACGTCCTTTGCCTGCGCGCACGGCTCTCAATATTTGAGAACACACGCGCATGTCAGATGGACTGGATGCGGAGACCCCCGCCTGAGCCGCCGCCTCGCGCTGGTTTCCGCATCTCGCCATTATCTCGGGACGAGCTATATGCCTTTGTAGACGCATACACAAAGGACTATGGCATCACCGAGACCTCACCACGCGAAGAGCGGTTCTTTCGCAGCTCCACTCCTCCCTGGTTTGCGGCCTCCGCTCACCGGGTCACCATCGCTGTGGAACTTCCGATAGACCACTCAATAACGGACGAAGAAGAGCTGATAAGGAAAAGCGCAGAGTCAGCGAAGAGGCTCTAGCGCTGCACAGCCATCGTTCGTGGATACTTGCGACCGATGGCGGTGTAGACGTTCCCAAGTCAGCAGGGGTTGGAATACTGCTTTCATTCCTCAACTCATCGGAGATAATAGAAAAGGTCAGTATAAACTGCGGTGCACGCCCATGCAGCTACAGGACGGAATCCCGTGCGCTGCATCTAGCCCTGGAGAGGCTGATGATCCCTCGTATCCAACACAGGCGTAAAACCCTGCTTGTGGTTACGGACAGTCAGTCCCTTCTAGCGGCTCTAAACAAGGGCCCGCTCAGTCAGACCGACTGGACGGAGGATCAGATCTGGCAGCGTCTCTTGACAATGACGTGTGCTGGCTGGTCCGTGCACCTGCAGTTTTGTTACGGACATTGTGGAGTACATGCTAACGAGCCTGCAGATCAGTATGCGACGCAGACTATGGCAACCGGACAATACACGGAGCAAGGAATCGCACCTTTATGGCATACGGATCTGCTGACATGTTTTACTACCCAGCTCACCAACAAGTGGCGTAGTACCATTCGTCAAGACACTCATCGCTACTTGCTTTGCGGCACAAGGCCATCAGATCTCAGCGGTAAGGACCTGATCACTCAGGAAGTTCTCCACCGTCAGGAACTGGTTCACCTCGCAAGGGCAAGGTGCGGGGAATCTGAGCTCTGGGGCCGACTATACTGGGCCGTGAGAGATTGCACGAACCAATGCCGATTCTGCAACATCTCACCGGAACAGTCTGCATATATGCGCTCTAACAACGATCCAACCGCACCGGGGACGGACAATGTTCCCCCGTCGGCGAGGGAGGAAGACGTCTCTCCAGTAAGGAGACGGACCGTCACACGCCGTCGGAAGGAGAAATGTCCGCACTGTGATTCCACATTGACGGGATTCTCGGGTCTCGTCAGCCACTGTCGGTCATTTCATCCGGAACATCCTCCACCGCTTCCCGAGCTCAAATGTGATTTCTGTGACATGGTTTTCCCCACACGGAGAAGCACCGCACAGCACAGAAGTCGCTGCGCACACAACCCAGACGCCACACGGCATCGAAACAGCAGTGCCAGGAGGCGATCTCTGCTGCCGCAGGATCAGCCAGCCTCCACAAGCACGCCAATTGGCCCGCAGGAGACCTTGCATCATCTGCTTCTAGAATGTTCAGGCAACTTGGCTGTGCGCCAACGGCTGGGCATTGAACAGGACCTCCGTCATGGAAAGTTCTCTCAATGGCAGTTGCTTCATAGCAGGAAATTTGTTTTGCTGCTCGACCACCTCTTCGGCACTCAGATGGCATTGTATAGCTAGACGCGATGGTAAGAGTAGGAAAATATATATAATGACCTCATGACGTCCAATACCACCGATGTGTACGGGCGATGGGACTGCATCCATGGTCCTCAAGCACACGCCCCGCCGCTAAGGAGCCCACAAACAGCGGTGCGTGCAGCAGCGCCACACAGATCACATCTTCTTTAAAAAAAAATCAAAGAGAGTAGAGACGTCTGGTTCGAAGGTGAAATGTTCTTGCCGACAGTGAGCAGTGGCGAATGTATCACCTCGTGTGTGGAAGCACCACTGCTGCTTCTGCTTTTGGGACTGTGTGTAGTTGTGGCAGTGTTCTGAGCCACGGAGTGTGGAGTTGCGACTTCTCACGGAGAATATGTACCGCGTTCCCTGCGGGCCTTCTTTTTTTGGTGTTCTTTTTAATGTTGTTTGCATGGAACAATGGGAGTACCTTTTCTTTTGTTTTACTTAATGGTCAGTTGCTGCGCACCGTCATGAGCGAATTGCTTTCCCTATTGATTGCTTCTGTTGCCCACACGCGGTACAGGCCCCACGGCTGTGCGCTCCACGGACGACACAAAAGGAGGAGTGGAGAGAAAGGCCGGATGCCGCATGAAATGTGTGGGATTGTGGAACAGTAATAATTTTTTCCTTGTGCAGGTACTGTACGCATGTACATATAAACACAGTCCTGCCCTGCTGCATGGCGTACGAAATGATGATTCTGCTGAAGTGTATTTTTTTTTGGAGGAGACTCCCGTTGGGCACCCAACTACTTTTTTGTTTTGGTATCGCTTTTTTACTTCTGGTGTGCAGGCCAGTGTGCGTTCCTCTGCAAGGCTGCTGCCGTTGTTTACTGTGCGTGTTGTTTTGTGACTTGTCTTGCCTTTTGCTTTCACTCTGCGTTGACGTGTTGTTAGTTTGTGCTGAAGGCTGCACGCAAGTGACAGGAGTGATGGCGATGGTGATGACTGGCCGTGTGCTGCTGGTGTGTGCCCTCTGCGTGCTGTGGTGCGGTGCCGGCGGTGGCTACGCTGAGGGTGTCGATGTTGCTTTTGGTGGTCCTGGAGCTTTCGGCGAAGGTGGAGGTGGGGCTGGTGGTCAATCTCCTCCTGCAGATGGGAGTCGTGGTGGCAGTAGAGGTTCAAAGGCCGATGGTTCTCATTTAGGTGAAAGTGACGCTTCGGATTCTGCTTCCGATGATATATCATTAGCTCCCTCTCCTGCTCTGGATGTGGTTCCGACTCTCTCCGAGGAGCCTTTACCCCAGGAAGAAGAGGAATCTGAAAGAAAACAGAAACACCCACAAACAGGGCCTCAAGTTGCATCAACGCCTAAAGTGAGTGGAAGAGAGGCAATTGATCCTGATTCGCAAAAACAGTTGCCCGATAAATCGAAAACGGAAAGTATTACTAATGTTGGTGGCGGTGAAACCGCAGACGGGGGAAAAGGGAATAATGCCCACAATAGCGGGTTGTCCTCTAACAAAAGCGACCCCCCAGCACTGCTAGAAGCAAGAATCACAAAAGTATCACTACCAACAGAACCTTCACAACCACCAGCAGATTTATCACCGCCGCCACACGAACTGCCTACGGTACCATCACCAACAGGGCTAGCACCAGCAATGGCCATTTCAGCAGGAGAAACAAACCCAACAGCATCCACAGGCTCACAGAATACAACAGAAACAACAAGCACGACGTCACCGTCAAACGCTAAAGCGGAGCGTGAAGCAACGGAAAAAACTTCAGGGAATGTTGCGCCAAACCAAAACAGACACGACACGGACACACCAGGTTTGATGAAGGGTACAACTACAAGTCGTCCGGCGGAAACAGCAGTGCCATCTGTATCTAAAAGTGGCAGTGATGGAGCCCAGAACAAGGAGGGCAAGGTTGATAACGGTGCACAACGGACTAACAGCAAAGAACCACAAGACGGGCCCGAAGACGGAAATACCGACGATGCTCCCACAGCAAATGAAACTTCATCACAAACAGCAACAACAGCCATCACCACTCAAACAAATGATACGACGACGACTGGCGACAGTGACGGCAGCACCGCGGTCTCCCACACCACCTCCCCTCTTTTGCTTCTTCTTCTTTTTGCGTGTGCGGCGGCTGCCGCTATGGTGGCCGCGTGAGAGTGAGGGAGAGAGAGCCGTGCACCGCACGCACACACACTCGTCCTTCTTTCTCTCTGTGTGTGTGTCCCCTTGCATGGACTCTCGCCCTCACCTCACCCCACGAGGCACACACATAATGTGCCCATTGTATATATGCATGCACACCCATGCATGCCCGTTGGTGCTCTCTTTTGCACGACACGCACCGCTGCCGTCCTGCCTGGCTGCATGGGCGGAGCACCGTAACTGTTTCTGTTTTTTTTTTATTGCATTGAGTGGGCGACCTCTCTCTCTCTCCCTGTGTGTGTGTGTTTTGCTTTACGGGAGCAATGAGAGTGTGTGTGCGCTGGTCGTCCCACGCTTCGGCTTTTTGTTTTTTTTTCCTTTTTGATTTTGTGGTTGAGTGCACCCATTCCGCGGCTGCGTGTGTGTGTGTGTGTGGTGATATGAGTAATTTGCGTGTGTGCTATCTGCCTCTCTCTGTTGTTGCCGTTTTTGACTCTGTTGTGTTCCGTACATCTGCTCTGCAAGTATAGGCGCTGCCAAACACACAAACACATGCACACGCTGTGGAGCGGCGTGAATGATGAGAACGCGCACACGCACAGGATTGTGGCTGCGGCGGCCCTTTCGGGGAGGGATGACGGAAGACTGCGATTTTATTTTGTTGCCGTGCTGCGAGCGTGATTTTCTTGGCGTGCTGCCCGTGTGCGGCGCGGCATTAAAGGTGCCTGGGAGATATGCGTATGGATTCACTCCTGGCAGCTGCACGTGCCGACGTGTTTCTCTCGCTGTTCATGCACCCACGAAGGATTCTCCGGCTGTGCGGGGCGATGTGCGATGGAGGGTGCGGGAAGAGACAACAGTAAAACGACTGGCGATGGCGCGTTGGTGCTGCGAGGGGCAGTTGTGCCCTTCTGCATCTCGCCGATTGTTTTGTGTGTCGGCGTAGCTCGGAGAGTGCTGACGCGTGGCAGAAGCACCCGCCGTGGCTCCTGCTGGTGGCAACAGTCGTTGTGTGTTCTCGGTGCACTGTTCTTCCTTCTCGTTCCGTGTGTCTGTGCGCGTGAGTTGTCGTTGGGAGTGAATGCGGTGCGGATGATGATGCCACTCACTGTGGATGGGTGGCGGTGCGTTTATTTATTTCACTTCTTTTTCCTCTTCCCTCTCTTTCTCACACACAAGAAGGAAAGGAAGTAAAGCTAAACCCTAATCGCTACTGTGAAATTCGAAGGCTCTGAAGGGACCAACAACAGTCCACACACACACACGTATTTATATGCTCTCACGTGTTGCTGCAGTGAAGGCACCCCGCACACACAACCGTCGCCGCGTGACCGGATCCAGCGGGAGGAGGAGGGAAGGAAGAGAGAGTGAGCCGCAGGGGCCCAACATGTCGCGGCGTGTGTTTACTTCCGCGGTGCTCCTTCTCCTTGTCGTGATGATGTACTGCGCCTGCGAAGCTGCACTCGCGGAGGAGTGTAATCCAGTGACTGCTCCAAATTTTGAATGGAAAGCCATCACCGGTGATATAACTGTGGACTCTTTGGATGCTCCCGGCCTTCTAAAAGTGGGGAGTGACGTATTTGCCGTTGCCGAGGCGAAGAAGACGGAGAAGAACGTTCAAGGCAGCTTTACTGGCATTACATCCCAACTACTCACGATGGAAGCGGATAACAAACTGGTGGAAGTTCTGAAGGATCCAAAAGATACACAATTTCTGGAGGAAGCTACTTCCGCAGACTCAAAGAAGAAAGTGGATGTGAGCCGACCAACAACAGTTGCGAATGGAAGTGATATTTACATGCTTGTTGGGAAATAAAGTTCTGCAGATGTTGGTGAGAATAGCGGAGCAAATGACGGGGGATTATTGCTGGTGCAAGGGAGCGTCTGTGAAGAAAATGGTAGTGGCAAAAGAATCAAATGGAAAGATAATGACGGTGTCTCGCGTATTTCTGTTGGCGAACGAGAATTGTGGACGCAGCTGATTGGCGGTGGTGGATCGGGTATTGAGACGAAAGACAGAACTCTCTTGTTCCCAGTGGAAGGCACGAAGAAGGGGAACAAGAAGGGTGAAAAGGCCGTATCGCTGCTCATATACACCTCCGATAACCCTGCGAGTTGGACGCTATCGAAGGATGTGCCTGACGGTGGCTGTAGTGATCCCTCCGCCGTGGGGTGGGGAGAGAAGGAGGACAAAAAACTCATGATGATGACTGCGTGTGATGATGGCCGCCGCAGGGTGTACGAGTCCGGTGACAGGGGGGAGTCGTGGACGGAGGCGCTCGGGACACTCTCGCGCGTGTGGGGCAACAAAAAGGGCGAAGGAGCGAAGGCCGTTAGAAGCGGGTTCATCACAGCGACGATTGACGATGATAAGAGAAATGTTATGCTCGTCACTCTGCCGGTGTATTCCAAGGAGACTGATACAGGAGGCAATGGAAAGGGAAAACTCCATCTTTGGCTGACGGACAATACGCACATTGTTGATATTGGGCCGGTATCTAATGATGATGATGACGCTGCTGCCAGCTCCCTGTTGTACAAAAGTGGTAAAGATGGTGATAATAAGAAGGATGAGTTGATTGCACTTTACGAGAAGAAGAAGACGAAGGGTGATGAAGGAAAACCATCATTCGGTATGGTCTCTGTGCTTCTGACCGAGCAGCTGCAGCGTGTGAAGGATGTGCTGGCGACGTGGAAGAAAGTGGACGAACGTGTCTCCAAGCTGTGCCCTTCTAAAAGTGCTGAAAAGGATGCCTCACCTAACACTGCCTGCAGCCCTACTGTTAAGATCACGGATGGGCTGGTTGGCTTTTTGTCCGGCAGCTTCTCTGATGGCACATGGAGGGACGAGTACCTCGGGGTGAACGCCACGGTAAATAATAATAAAGGGGCTACAAAGGCAGATAATGGCGTGATGTTTACAAGGCGTGGCGCAGGGGCGGAATGGCCCGTTGGCAGTCAGGGGGAGAATCAGCTGTACCACTTTGCGAACTACAACTTCACTCTTGTGGCGACGGTGTCCATCGACAAGGTGCCGGAGGAGGGTTCTCCCATTTCTTTGATGGGTGTGAAGGTGAATGACGATAAGAATCCCGTACTTCTGGGAATGTCGTACAACAAAGAAAAGAAGTGGGAGTTTTCTTGCGGTGGCGGAAACCCTAAGGAGCACAGCAGCATATCGGAGGCAACAACACACCACGTGGTGCTTGTGCTACGGAACGGCACCCAGGGCTCCGCGTACGTTGATGGTCAGCATGTATTGGGAGATGCAGAATGTGATTTGAAAAATACGAAAGATAAAAAGATCTCCCACTTCTACATTGGAGGGGGCGAACGCAGTGCGGGCGACGCAGGGAGCGAAGACGTGTCTGTGACGGTGACGAACGTCCTGCTGTACAACCGCCCGTTGAGTACTGCGGAGATTGGCGCCCTCAACCCGAATAAAGTCCTCGTTCCACCTGTGGTGCCTGACAATGCCCAAGGAACCCCGTCGCAGTCCTCTTCTGACGGGCAATCGCCGTCAGGGCCTAAATTGTTGAATGGAAATGGGAGCACGGTCGGTGGCAGCACGTCCCCCTCAGCACCGTCCACTGTAACGACTTCCTCAGGAAAAGAGCAATCCGTAATTCAGCCACCTTCAGGAATATCTTCCGGTGGAAACAAAAATGTGGATGCCGCTTCTCCATCCGATGGTGATCCAAGGGTGGGAGCAGAAGCTGGAGGTGCGCTGCAGGGAGACACACCACCCCAAACTCCTGTGGATACCCCCGACACAGCAGATGCAAACGCTCCTACCGCTACGAGCGTGGCTCAAGTTGGCCCCGCAGCTACAACTGGAGTGGGTGCGAGCTCTGGTGCGAATGGGGAGACGGCGGAAGGGAGGGATGGGCAGGGAGAGCTCCATGCACGGGACGGCGAAGTAAAGGTTGCGGCACTCAGCAGCAGCCTCGGAAATTTGTCGCAGGTGAATAACAGCGATGGCGGTACTGTGCGTGGGAGCGGACTGCTGCCGTCGCTGCTGCTTCTGTTGGGAACGTGGGGGTTCGCGGCTCTGTGAGGATTGACTGGCTGCCGCGTGGGACAATTGCGACCTCCCATGCACCGACACACACACCTGGCAATGAATTTATTACCTCAAATAACTTTTTTTACTTCTTCCCTGTTTGCTTTGCTGTGCGCTTTATATCCCCATTTCTTCTTTTTGCTTTTTGCTTTTGGGGCAATCACTGTGGACTTTCTTTTCTTTTCTACTCTTCCCTCTTTAATTGTTTGTTGCTGCACTCTTCCTGCGAGGGGTGCCGTGTGTTTCCACCCAACTGCTCCACTCGCACACCCACCGACACGCTCATGACGACGGCCCTGTGCGCCTCGCCTGCTGCACGCATGAGGAGGGGCCGCGACGAACGGCGCGCTGAGGGAGCCGTGACGTGTGGGCGTGCGACGAGGGCCTGTGGGGCGGAGCACACATTTCTTCCCTCTTGTTTTGTTTTTATTGCGGCCAGGGCTGGCAGACACCCGCAGCCACACACACACAGCCACACCCTGCCGCCGTGTTTTTCTTTAAGGATTTGTTTTGCTTTGCGTGTTTATTTCATGCGGTGGCGCACCCTTCGGTGTCGGCCTCGTGAGCATTTCTCTCCCCTCCGATGATTTCTTTTTCTTTTGCTGCGCTCACTCTTCCGATGGAGTGACGCGACTGCCGTCATGTCTGCGTGCTTCTCTCAGTCCCCACACACACGAGTGACTGTGCTCTGCGGGCCGCACTCACGCGCCGATGAGAGGGCTGAGGGGAGCAGCAACACGCGGATGCCGCCATGAAATATAAACGATGTGCGGACACATGGAGGGTCGGACGGTCGAAGCACACGCAACCATCTTTTTAATTTTCTTTTGTGGGCAAAATACATACAGACAGTTTGGTGTGGCCACACGGCAGCCAGGCGATTTTTTTCTTATTTTAAAAATTGTGTGGAGCAGTAATGGACGATTTCTTTTTCATTTATAATTATTTT